CTGTTTCATGAAGCAGAGGTTGGCTGTGTTGGAGGACCAGCAGCCACGGCATCTGCAGGGTTACCAATAGTGTGGGAGCCGGAGGGCGCCCTCGGAGTAGTCGTGGTCAAGTTGACTCGTCCCCTCCCGTCAACACCTGGCTTTTTCCCTTCCCATCCACCATCCTACTGTGAGGGGGGCAGAACTGTAGTACAGGGCTCGCAGTCTCTTGCCAGCCTCCTCCTTGGGGAGAACAAGTGCCCCCCCACCGAGCCCTCTGACCTCTGGGCATCTCCTGGCGTGCGGACCGTGCGAGGTGGCTGGTCACATGCGCTTCCCAGGGCAGTGAGCCAGGGCCAGGGTCTGTGAGGTGGGAGCTGTGCCTTCACCCGCAGCTTCCGTCTCATCCCCAGAAGAGGTGGGGTCTGTGCTTTCTGGAGGAGTTCTTGAGGGAGCAGCCCTCCCCTTGGTGGTAGGACTGTTACAGGCGTGCGAGGCCCCTTCGCCGTATTTCGCCGTGGGTGTTTTGCCGCCAGGAGGGGCCCAGGGAGGGCCGGAGGGACTGTTCTGGGAACATCTGTCCTCGCCGAGGGTGGGCTTAAGCAGTCGGCTTTGTGTTGTCCTGGGTTGACGCAGAGTTTCCTCCCCCCGTGTGTTCACATGTGGGCTTCTTGGGACAAGGTGGACTGGCCTCACTGGAGCTGGACTTTGTAGAACCCCTTGGTCCAGGTCAGGGGTGTCTGGGGGGGAGACCGTGCTGGCCGTGCGCTGGCCCTCCTGCCCTGCGCTTACTGGCTGCTTCTCTGTGCACCACGCGTCGCTTGTGAGCCCAGGCAAGGGAGGCTCCGTCTCGGCCATCCTTCGTTTGACTCCCGTGACGTGGCAGCTCTCAGGGGCGATGAGGAAGGCAGCATTAGCAGCACTCCTGTGAAGAGTTCGTCTGGGCCGGGGGTAGTGCGGGTCACCAGCCAGCGCACGCTGGGGTCATGCGTGGCCCCCCGGAGATGGGGTGTGGGGAGGAGGGGCAGGGTGAGGTGGAGGGGCTTTGCCAGAAGCTAGAGAGTGGGGGTGTCTGTCACG